TACCACACCGCATGTGTGGAGGTCAGAGGACTCTTATAGGAACTGGTTCTCTCCTGAGCTCAAACTCGGGTCCTCAGGGAGGCAGCCAGCACTTCTGACCCACCGAGCCACCTCACAAGATCATGTCATGAACTTGCAATCCTCCTGCCTTAGCCTTTCAAAGAACTAAAATTATAAGCATCTACCACCACACCCAGCATAATTTTCCCTAATTCCCTTAATTTTCTTCCTTGTCTGTCAGTCTTCCTTACTCTGTCTCCCCCAGGTTCACTTTAGCCTTCCCTCATTCATTCCTTCAGCGAGTCGGTCAGCACTTTCTCAGCATCGCCCACCTGCCTGGCCTGGCCAAGTGCTAGTCAACTCTACTTGTTCCTCCCTGCTGTCGGATGCAGGCCCCCTTTTCCTGTGCGGCCAGCTCCCTTTGTCACCAATTTGGATCCCTCCGGAATGCATGCACTTACTGCAAACCCAAGCCACGTCCCACGCCGGTCTCTTTCCCCGCCCTCTGCCTCTGGGTTCTACACACCTCACACAGTCGATCTAGACATGAGTGAACTGGCAGCCGCTGTGCTGAGGCTAGATTCTCCACAGGCTGAATATTCTCTGTCTCCCGCCCTCCTGCTCTTTCTGTTTCTCACTCTCAGAGTTTCTGTTTTTGCAGACCTACCAGGTGCCCCAGCCTACACATCTCCCACTCTCTGCAATTCACTCACCTCTCTTTCCCCTCGACTCCAGCTGTCCAACCCTTCCTGAACCTCTCTGCTTCTGACCTGCTCCTTCTGCACCCATTCTTGCCTTGATTCCTCCTTCATCTCTCTGTCTATGTCTCTCCTTCCTCCCAAGGCTGTAGCTCCTAGAGGTTTCAGTACCTGTCTTTTTTAAGATCCCTCTTCAAACACTACTCCTCGGGGCTGGAGAGATGGCTCAGCAGTTGGTTAATAAGGCTTATCGCTCTTGCAGAGGATATGGGTTCCTTACTCAGAACCCAAATGGCAGTTCACAACTACCTATAGTTCCAGCCCTAGGAGACCTGATTTCTGGGGGTTCCGGCACACATACAGTACATATACCTACACTTAGGCATACAAACATAGACATTTAATTAATTAACTAATTAGAAAGATAAAATTCTACTCCTTATTCACACCCTTAAGCCTTTTATTTATTTTTTCTTCTTCCTGGTCCTGGGGATGGCACCAAAGGTCTTGCACAAGCTAGGCAAGAGCTCTGGGGAACTCTAGGCTCTACCACTGAGCCACACCCCAGCCCCTCACTGGGGGATTCTAGGCAGGGGCTCTACCACTGAGCCACACCCCCAGCCCCTCACTGGGGGATTCTAGGCAGGGGCTCTACCACTGAGCCACACCCCAGCCCCTCACTGGGGGATTCTAGGCAGAGGCTCTACCACTGAGCCACACCCCCAGCCCCTCACTGGGGGATTCTAGGCAGGGGCTCTAGCTCTGAGCACTACCACATGTCAAGCTTCCCTTTTCTCCCTCTCCGTCTCTTCTGAATTGGGAATCAAACCTAGGGTCTTACACTACTTAGGCTAGTGTTCTCCCTCTAAGCTACAATTCTATTCCTTCTTTCATTTTTCACTTTAGCCCAGACTGGCCTCCAACTCACACAGTCCTCCTGCTTCAGCCTCCTGTGTGTTTGGGATTGCAGACCTGAACCACATTTATCCTTTTTTCTCCAGAACTTCCCTTCTCATCAGATACATGCCCCCTGTGAACAGAGGTCCTGTTTCTCTCCATCTGCCTACCCTGCCCTCTCAGCATCTCCCTGTTCTTATTTCATCCCTGAGTGATTCTAGACACCTTGCCCTCCCCTCTTTCCTCCCTGGGAACCCAGGCCACCTACCGAAACCGCTCCTGGCCAGCAGTGTCCCAAATCTGTAGCTTCACAGTCTTCCCCCCAACGTTGACCACCCTGGATCCAAACTCAACGCCGATGGTGTGGTTGGAGTCCTGTTTGACTGGGAGTGGGAGGGAAAGAGGAGGCAGTGCAGGGGCTCCTGGAATTCCCCCCATCCTACAGGCCTCCTCCTCCGTTTCTGCAACCCAATTCTCACTGCTGGGTTGGCAGAGAACTTAGCAAAGACCATCCACCAAGGCCAGAGGCAAACCTACAGCATTAGCTTTAAACCAATGGTACCTGCTGCCTACCCCACCTACTGCCCACTGACCCACACCATGGCCACATCCACAGTTCCAGGGTCTTGCCAGAAACTCACACTTATTCTCAATGAACTGATGGAGGAGACATGATTTGCCAGTTCCAGCACTGCCAATCACCAGGAATTTGAAGAGGAAGTCTGAGCGGATGATGCCAAGATCAAGGATACCCACCGGGAAAAAACGGCAGGGAGTAAGAGGAAAAATAGGAAGTCAGAAGGAAAGATGCACACAAAAACAGAAAAAGCCATACATAACAAACAATAAAACATCTACAGTGCTGTAGATATAACTCAGGGCATCCTGCAGGCTAGGCAAGTGTTTCTCCATATTGACCCCCAACGCAAATGACTCTTTTACTCATTATTATTATTATTATTATTGATTGAAACAAAGTTTCACTGTGTATTCCAGACTGACCTAGCTGCCCTCAAACTCCAAGCAATCCTCCTGCCTCAGCTTCTAAAGGAATGCTGGGATTACAGTTATATGCTGCCATACCCTGTATTTCTTTCTCTTTTCTTCTCCTAGTCAAGGACTCATTGTGTAGCACTATCTGGCCCTGAATTCCAATCCTCCTGCCTCAGCCTCCTCACTACTAAGATTACAGAATGTGCCAGTATATTCCACTTTTCTTTCTTTCTTTTTTTTTCTTACTTTTAGAGTATTACTCTGTAGTCCAGGCAGACTTCTAACTTGAAACAGTCCTCTTGCCTCAGTCTTCCAAACATGAGGATTATAGCACACAAGATTATTCTTACATAGTGCTTACCGTATATATACCCAACACAGTCCTAAAGAGCGTTATGTATGTTGACAGCTCATTTAATCCCAAATAAAGATCTAAGGAGGGAAGTACATTAAGTACCCCTACTTTCCAGAGTAGGAGAATGAGGTCAGGAAGGCTAACCAACTTGCCCAAGGCCACACAGAAGGTAGGACTAAGATTCAACCCAGACTAAAAGTCTCCACAATGCAAGACCTTAACTGATGAATTTCAAAGCCATTTCAACCTTGATTAAATTTGGCCTCCATTCCTCTCCACTTCACCTCCTACAACCCTCTCATTCACTCTGTCAAGGCCTCTGACATTTAGCCTATTTACCTAAACTGGCTCCCTCCTCAGGGTCTTTGCACTAGATTCTTTGGCTTTTCTATATGTGTTGAATGAATGTAGCTGTCTCTGATTCTTTACTGCCCTCGGACCTCCCTCCACACACATGATACTACTGTACATTCATACTGACTTTCCAACCCTGAACCTCTTTCTCCCTACCCTCTGCCCTGAACCCTTGGCCACTATCCTTAAACTTAAGCCGCATCCTTTGACGCTAAGTTTCAAATCTAACTCCAGGACATCACTCCAGACCTCTCAAACCAGATCAGCCCCACAGGATGTGCAGGGTTCACAGCATCTGTGCGAGGTTCTTCTCTCTCTACTCCATAAAGCCCACCCTTGCCATTCACCGTCAGACCCGCCCTATTCACTCACGCTCCGCCCAGGAAGGCTTGCTTCCCTCCTTGAAGCCTACCCCCTACCCTAATCTACCATCACTGGCTCCCTCAAATCCCGCCCTAAATCTGTTTAACTCATACAGCGGTCTCCCAAGTTCCACCCAAATCGATTAAGCTCAGCCCCAGACCCACTTAGCCCTGCCCCTCATCGCGGCAGACCCCGCCCCCTGAACAGAAAGCCCCGCCCCACTTCCACATCCGCATCCTCTACGGGCCCAGCCCCCCGCTTCGACCCAGCAGCCTCACCGTAGGTCTCGGCCATGGCTCGCTGGCGACCGCTGAGGGCCGCAATATGGCGCCGCGGCCGCGCCTGCTCCTCGGCTGGCAGCCGCTCCACTCGGGCTGCAGCCTCAGCTCCTTTCCACTCCCGGACCCGGCGCCGCCACTTCCGCCTTCACCCCCCACTCCCGCGCGAGCCTCCAGAGCTGCGGATACCAGGCCACGCTTGCCCAAGGCCGGGATTGGCGGACTCGGCAGACAGTGGGCGGGACGGACGGCGCAGATTGGTGGCGCGAAAGGGGCCGAGTCGAAAGGGGCGTAACCCAGGCGAGCGATTGGTGGAGCAAGTGGGAGGGGGCGGAGGCAGAGGTGCTGCGCCCCGCGGAGGAACGGATTTGGTCAGGATTCTGGACGCAGAGACGAGACTCCGGATTGGTTAGACGTGGACCTGGGGGTGGGGACACGAATGCCAAGAAGTGGCAAGGGCAGGATGGACAGAGTTGGAAAAGCGGATCTCAAGCTCCAGGGGTGCGATTTCTAACCCCACAGGCAGGAAGGCCGAGAGGGCACGCTCACGTTGCTCCCCATCTGCAACGAAACCTCTGCTGGTCGGGCATGGTGGTGCATACCTTCAACCCCAGCGGGAGGAGGGGAGGGGGCGGGAGGGGAGGGGGAAGGCGCAGAGGCAGGTGCATATCAATGAGTTCGAGGCCAGCCTGGTCTACATAGTGAGTTCCATGCCAGCCAGGGCTACACAATGAGACCCTGTCTCCAAAAAAAAAAAGAAAAAAAGAAGGAAAACGTCTGTTGTGCGATCTATGACCTCGTCAGGATCCAGCTGGCTCATTACCAATAGTTAACTCCTTCTCAAGGGAGGAAAGTATACATATATTGTACTGTTTAGTTTATTCCCTTGCTTGTGGCCCCAGACCTTACCCAGTTTGGAGCGAAGGGCTGACAACAGTGAAACCCTGCCTAGCAACCACTGACGTTACCACATTCAGGGCACTGATTGGCTAGATTCGGGAACCTGAGAAACATTTTCTTCGCACATGTCCACCCAACCTCAAAAACCAAAGAGACAAACAGTTTGCAGTTGGCTGTTGTATTTGCATGAAGTCGAGAAGGTAAACAGCAAGGACAACAGCAGGTTGAGCTCACTGGCAGTAGAAATCCCATTTCTGAAAAAGAGGAAAGGAAAAAACAGTAGATAGAAAACCGATGATCGCATGGCTGTAGCTGCAAGGACCAGGTTTGACCTCACAGAAATAACCAAATTAGCCTCGAGCCCTGTAACCTCTGCATTTACCAATTGAGCAGGGCCTGGTGACACATGCCTGAAAACGAAGCAGCCCTCAGGAGGCTGATGCTGAAGGCTAGTGATTGGGAGGCCAGCCTGGGTACATAATCTGTCTCAAAAAAAAAAAAAAAGTAATATATATATATATTACTAACAATAACAAAAATAATTGCTTCTCATTTACGGTGAGAAAATGAAGAAGCCCTTACCCTCCCACTCCCACCTCCACCCCAAGACACTCACATCTGTCTTCACATCAATTTTGGCAGGTTTCAGAGTCAGGTCCTCTCGAACAATGCTACTGGGGAAATAGCCCAGGCGGGCAGCCAGGTCTCCATAGTAACCTCCCTGAACCTGGAGAAGAACTTATAAGTCCATCTGGGGGGGAAAAGGCACTCACACCTGCTAACTCCAGTGCACAATCTTCTCTCATTTGAATCTCAGCTTAAATGTCATTTGCTCATGGCTAGGATGTAGCTACCATAACTAATCCTCACAATGGCATGTTTGCTGGCACTTGTGATGGCATGCTGGTTGCCTACTGCCACCCATTAGAATTGAAAGGGATTGTTCACTGGTGTACCTGAGGCTTGGAAAGAGCTTGGACCCAAGCTGCCCTATAATTGCTAAAGTAAAAACGCAATAGGTGACAAAATATCCTCAAAATATCCCTCAAAGCTCTGTTCCCCCTCCCCCCCAAATTTTCCCTTCAGATGGAAAACAGGTATATATAAACCCCATACCCTATACCCTTCCCTCTTACACTCTGAAGACTTACACTGCCTCCCCAGAAAAGCCGCCCACGGCCCTTCAGCTTGGAGAAGACATACACCACTTGGCCCCTGTATATGGTCAAGAAGCGGCAATCAGGGGCCACATAGTCCTGAACGGCCACAGCCATGGAAATAGGATCTGGAGGAGGCAACGACAGTAACTTCAACACAGGCCATCAGTCCAAGCCCTCACCCCCCTCCCTGCCCTTCTCCCGAGTCTTACGGCTGCATTCCTCATCTGCACACAGCTTCCAGTCAGCCAGCTTGGGCATGTCACGATCAGCCCCGCTAGGCCCTGGGAAAACAGACAGGAAGACAACACCGACGAGCACAGGGGACCACACCATCATGGACCGAGAATGACCGAGTGAGGAATGGGGTCTCCAGTCTCCTCCTGCCCTCCCTCTGTGCTGAGTCACAAGGAAAACTGTGTTCTCAATCCTGTCTCCGCCCCAAACCAAATTACACCCCCCACCCACTCCCCAAGGTTGTTATTCAGCCAGAACCATTTCAGAGACAGGGTAAGGGCTATGGGCCAAAGAAAATGCCCACTTGAGCCCAAAGCAACCCAGACCACTCCAAGTAGCAGCCACCCCCTCAATAATCAGAGACCCAGATAGGCAGGCTGGACTATCTGGTTCCTTCTTCAAGTCATTTTAGGTACCCGGACCCTCCAGAGACCAAACTAGAGAGGCCAGCATAGAAAACCACCTTGGAATTTCCTGTGCTGAGGTCTGAGAACAAAGCAGTTCTTTGATTAGCAGCCACAGCCTGTTCCCAGGTACTGAGCAAACACTGAATGTCCGGCCTCAGGCTAGGCACTGGCCCACCTGGCTCACTGTGCATCTTCCCAGGCTCCTTCCTCAATGGAAGGCACGAGCTAAGCTATTCTAGCCTCAGAGCCTCAACTCCCTCACATGCGAAGGCAGCAATGAAAGCCAAGAGCATCCATCCAGTGTTGTTACTGGTGGGGTTCTGTTTGCTTTAGTGCGTATGAGTGTTTTTACTGCATGTGTGCCTGGTAGCCTTGATAGTCAGAAGAGGGTGTTGGATCTTTTGGAGCTGGAGCTACAGACAGTTGTGAGCCACCGTGTGGGTGCCGGGAATTAAACCTGGGTCGTCTGGAAGAGCAGCCAGTGCTCTGCTCTTAACTGCTGAACCATCCATCATTCCAGCCCACTCTTTTTTGAGACAAGGTTCTACGATGTAGTCCGGGCTGGCCTAGAACTCCCTATATAGATCAGGCTGGCCTCAAAATTATAAGAGATCCACCTGCCTCTGCCTTCCCAGTGCAGGGTAAGGCATGCACCTCCATTCAGGGTTAGAATCAAGTATGTATTTTTTTCCTTAGGGACAGCCTTCATTGCCTCAGGAGTGGCTACGACAAACCCAGTTAATTAAGAATTGAAGTATATAAAGTTAAGGAACATGTGTCCAAGGTAACTGAGCCAGGGAGGGAGGGAGATGTCTCAAGGTCTCCAAGCATCACTGTTATCTGACCTGACATGGCCCTCAGAAGGAATAGCGCATCGACAGATAAGAAGGGACCAGAGGCCAAGGTAAGTGTTTAGTGACCTTACAATGATGCAATCATATACCTTAATGGTTGTGGCAGCTTGAGTGAGAATGGTCCCTATAGGATAATAAAGTTGAGTGTCTGCTTCCCGGTTGGTGGACTGTTTAGGGAGGATTTCTTGTTGGGAGATGTATGTCACTGGGATTTCAAAAAACCCAGCTCTCTCTCTGCCTCCATCTTGCAGATCAGATGTAAGCTCCAGCACCATGCCGGCCTATTGCCATGATCTCCAACATAATGGCTATGAACTAATTAATCCTCTTAAACTATAAGCAACCCCCAAGTAAATGTTTTTTGGCTTTTTTTTTTTTTTTTTTTTTTTGGTTTTTTCGAGACAAGGCTTCTCTGTGTAGTTTTGGTGCCTGTCCTGGATCTCACTCTGTAGACCAGGCTGGCCTCGGACTCACAGAGATCCACCTGGCTCTGCCTCCCAAGTGCTGCGATTAAAGGTGTGAGCCACCGCTGCATGGCTTAATGCTTTCTTTTCCTCTTTATTTATTTATTATGTATAGTGTTCTGTCTGCATGTATGACTGTAGGCCAGAAGAGGGTACCAGATCTTGTTACAGATGGTTGTGAGCCACCATGTGGTTGCTGGGAATTGAACACAGGTCCTCTGGAAGAGCAGTCAGTGCTCTTAACCTCTGAGCCATCTCTCCAGTCCCCGTAATGCTTCCTTTTTAAGTTGCTTTGGTCATGGTCTCTCACAGCAATAGAACAGTAACTAAGATAGGGTTCTGTGCCTGCTAGTCATGGGTGTAATCCCCAATGCAAAAAATAATCTATGACAATTTATCATTTATATGACAGGGGGGTGATGGTATATATGCACAAAGCCCTGGTTCAATGTCCAACACCACAGAAACAAAAACAGCAAGATCAGTGTGAATTAAGAGCTACCGTCATGGAGATTTACTTGAAAAGCTTTGGTCACAAGCTGAGAAGTGAAACCGGTAGCAGAGAACATGACAGCATGTTGTCTTTATGTTTGAACTCCCAATTTAAAACATGAAAGTGTTTCTTCATGCAGTAGATGTTTCACTCTAAACACTATACTAGTTTTAAATCTAAACACTGTGAAGATTCATCAAGAAATGAACATCTGAAGGCCCCTGGGAGACAATTAACCAATAAAGAAGTCAGGGGCTGGGGATGTAGCTCAGTTGGTAGAGTCCTTAGCCTGGTATCCACTGGGCCCTGGGGTCCATCCACACGGCACTAGCAACATAGGGGTAAGAGGATAGATGTTCAAGGTCATCCTGCTATTCGGTGACTTCTAAGTCAACAGTCTCAAAAACTCCTGAGAGGTTAAGAGCACTGCTGCTCCTGCAGAGGATCCAGATTCAGTTCCTAACACCCATGTGGTGGCTCACGACCTTGGCTTACAGGTGGTGCCTATACACATATGAAGGCAAAACATTCATGCACATAAAGTAAAATAAACCTAAAATTAAAAAAAAAAAACCAAAAACTTCTGATATAGGGAACTGTAATCCCAGCACTCAGGAGTCAGAGGCAGAGGCAGGCAGATCTGTGAGTTCAAGGCCAGCCTGATCTACACAGCTAGCTCATTCACCATATTGCCACATTGTAGAAACAATTCCATTTTCCAAAACCCAATTTACTTAAATGCCGATCGATGTATTAGACACTCCAAATGCAGTAACTTGAACCCAGCACTTGGTGCTTCCAATGTGTGCAGTGCCAGAATGTTTACCTGATATAAGGAGTGAGGATGCCAGTAACAGCAAGAAAAATTACCATTAGCCTTTTGGTGGGTCAGAAATCCTTGAGTTGTTTGACTTAAAGGTGGCGCTTCATCAGAGGGTTGGACTTGGGGAGGGTCGCCTCCAAGCCCTGACGACTGCTGAAGGATCGATCCATTGCTCATAGGAATTGGACTGGATGGACTGTATACTGACTGTTGACTATGGCGGGTGGGCTCAGGGGGCTGACACAAGGACCTTTTCCCGGCCTTTCTTATCAAATTTATGGTATGTTTTGTCTGAATGTGTGTTGTGTACGTGGGCGTGTGCCTGATGCCCTAGGATGCCCTGGGAGTGGAGTAAGACAATTGTGAACTGGCAAGTGGGTACTGGGACTCAAACTCCAGTCTTTTGCAAGAGCAGTCAGCACTCTTAACTACTGAGTCATCTTTCCAGCCCACCTCACTTTCTTGCCATCCCCCAAAACCAACAAAAGGCAGCCTTTATCGTTTCTCTATAACAGCCGTATCTGTCCCAGAACTCGCTTTGCAGACCAGGCTGGCCTGGAACTCAAGAGATCCTCCTGCGTCTGCTTCCCAAATGCTGGGAGACGTGAGCCACCACCGCCAGCTCAGTCTTTATATTATATTATTTATATATTATTGTATTGTAACATTATTTTTGCTATTCAGATACCCTTCACCATTCTTATTTATGGTTTGGCTTAATATGGTTTCAGATAACCTGGAAATGTTAAATGGAAAATTCCAGAAATATTTTTTCTTTTTTTAAGATTTATTTATTATGATTCAGTGTTCTGCCTACAGATAGCCCTGAGGTCAGAAGAGAGCACCAGATCTCATTACATATAGTTATAAGCCACCACGTGGGTACTGGGAATTGAGCTCAGGACCTCTGGAAGAATAGCCAGTGCTCTTAACCTCAGAGCCATCTCTCCAGTCCTAGAAGTATTTTTTTTAATCTTTATTTATTTGTTTTATGGATGAATGTGTGCACTTATGCCAGAAGAGGTCATCAGAGCCCCCTAGGGATGGTTGTGAGCCACCATGTGGGTGTTGGGAATTGAACTCAGGACCTCTGAAAGAGCAGCCAGTGCTCTTAACTGCTGAGCCATCTCTCCAGCCCTTTAGTTTTTTTTTTTTTTTTAAATTTCAAATTACAAGTCATTTTGAGTACTGCAGTCTCACTCTGTTCCATATCAGCATGCCAGGGATGTGAATGGAATTTTTGTCCACATTGTATGTGTTAACCATTCATCATTCACGCAAGGAGACCAAGGCTATGCCCCACTGCTTGTGTCCAAGTCATCCTCACTGTACCTCGTAGTAGACTCAAGGCATGGAACTAGTGGTGCTGCCCAGTGCGCGGGCACATACCTGTGCTCCCAGCATGTGGGAGTCTGGGGTAGGAGGACTGTGAATTTTACATCAATCTGGAATATACAGACAGAACGCACCAGGAAAAAACATTTATTTTTAAATTTTTATTTATGTGTATGCGAGGGGTGGGTATATGTGCACCTGAGTGCAGTTGCCTATGGAAGCCAGAAGAGGGCATCAGATCCCCTGGGGCTAGAGTTACAGGAGATTATGAAGTGATGTGGGTGATGGGATCAAACTTGGGTCCTCTGAAAGAGCAGAAAGTGATCTTAACTGCTGAGTCATCTCTCCACTCTCCCCAGGGAGAGGGGGGCATTAGCCAAAAAGTTTCATGCTTTCGACAAGGAATGAGGTAAAAGTATTTAGTGAAGGAAAGCCGGCGGCGGTAGTGCACGCCTTTAATCCGACTCCGGAGGCAGAGGAAGGTGGATCTCTGTGAGTTCAAGGCCAGCCTGGTCTACAGAACTAGTTCCAGGACAGCCAGGGCTACACAGAGTAAGTCTGTCTCAAAAAAAAAAAAAGTCTATGGAAATATCAGATTCTGTGAAATTGTGAAAAAAAAAAAGTTGCTAGTTTTAACATCACACCTCAAAGTTACAGCTGTTACATGTGATCAATGCTCAGTAGAGTTGAAATGGAAGAGGCTAGATGTGACGGGAGATGCTTATAAACACTGGGAAGATGCAGGTTACAATAGTGAATTGGGGTTAGGTGTGTGGCCTGAGCCCCCACCCCAGCCCCATCTTAAAAATGAAAAGATGGGGAACAGTCCTGCTGGACTCTAAAATATGGATTCAGTTAGATATGCTCTGCTTAGGACGGAGGTTTTGCTTCTGAAGCAAGCAGGTCACCAGTTCAAACACACAAGCAGATTTAAAAAGTACAGACACCACAGCCACGTTAGAGGACCGGGACTAACCTAACCACACAAACGTCAAACAAAACCCATGTGACCACAGCAGCCTCGCTGCACACCGTTTTCCTCTCCCTCTATCTCACCACACTCAGGAGCACACTGCACTCGGCCGGTGAGGTGGAACCCCCTTCCCACCTCAGGATCTTTGCACTGCCTCCAGAAATGCACTGACCACTACTCCAGTGGCTCCGGGTGCTTGGTCTAAGGACCACCTCAGCTTCGGGCCTTACTGGCAACTCCACACTGCTGTGCTTTGATTTGTCAAGATCAGAGCAAGTGACTCAGTGTACCTTGACCTCTGAGCTGGCCAGGCACAACCTCAAGGCAGGCAGAGAACAATCATACTCTGGCTTAGAGTCAGGGAGGAGTTTATCAGGGGCGGAGATGAACCTCTACAAACCCAGCACCACTAACAGCTCCACCCTAACATGCCTCCTCAGAGGAGCTTCCCCCCCCCCCATCACCCTAACTGCC